CCCCAAAACCCCAAAACCCCAAAACCCCAAAACCCCGTGTGACTACTTATAAGTCGAGATTTCATTATTATTAACTAATCATAATTTAATAACAGCAAATGAACTGTGAATATCCTGAACAGAGCACCTATCAAGGTAAGACAGGACCATACCTGATGCACGAGAGCCGCCACAAGCCTATTCTTAATGGGCAGGTCTTTGTTCTTTTACACAAGAAAGGAACTCCGATAAGACTCACCTTCGAATAGAATTTTACATTCGATTTTTATAAAAGAGCCCAATTTTCTCCTCGAGCAGAGACGACTAGGACATTTTGTATAGTAGCAGCCAGAGAACTCTGCTTAACATCTTCGTTAGCCTAGGTTCCAGGGGTGCAAGTCTTAAAAGTTCTGATAAAACGCGACTTTTATGTAAATTTTTTATCGTGAATGATTAATTCCAGATTCTTCGATTAATACAAATTTGAAGAAATTTTTAATAAGACTTCCTTGATTAAATAAAGTTAAGAAATCATTAATGACGCCTGCTCTGATCTGTTTTGTAATTTACTCCATGAGCTACTAAAAGGGCCTGGTGAATTTGGAAGTCAAAGAATTTACCAATGTAGTCTTCTCAAAACTGTTGGTAGAGTTATTGACTCAGGTTTGAAATTTTCCTTTTCATGAAAATTATAAAAATTCTCAATGCCAATCTTATTTAATACGTTATTTTAGACTCAAGACCAGAAACAGATGACTCGAGTTTAATGGGGTTAAAGAAGTCACTACCCCCTCCACATGCCTTAATGACCTATGAGAGCTTAGCAAAGATTTATTGTGTATGCCCAATCTCTCAGTATCCGAGCATGCTTTCATTACCTTCTTATGGACCAAAGTTTTCAAGCGACTTAAAACTTGAACTTGATTCTGCAATTCCATTGTTAGACCCCGAACTTGCGAACCTTAATTTGGATCTACAATCAATGACAAGGGAAGAAGTTTACTTTGAACTCCTCAAAGGGTACCAATACCAGACCTTGTCACACTTTGATGACAAGAAGCAGCGTAGCATGCCTCTCTACAAGTGTGGAATACCTGGTTGCGGCAAAATCTTGCAGAAGCTTTGGAACCTCCTTGACCATGTCAGAATGCATGCAGGTGTCAAGCCATACATTTGCAAGTGGTGCGGAAATCGCTTCACTCAGAAGGGCAATCTCAAGAAGCATGTTAAACAGCACATCAGGCCAAACGTCGATGACCGTAGGAGGTACAACTGCAGGTACTGCTCCAGATCATACACTGAAAGATACAACCTTAAGGTAAATTTTCATGCATGAGAAGCTCTTCTTTTACTTCAGGATCAACTTTTGTGCAACGCTAGCAATTACTAATACCTCATCAATAATTAGAGTCAGCTATAAAGTTTTTGTGGATAATGCTAGTAAATATTTTCTGACATTTTGCTAATTATAAAACTCATCGATAAACCCTGTAAATTCAGAGTTAGATTTTGCTATTATTCCCCCAATCAGCCATGTCTGACTCCTTTATATCAGATTAGCCGAAATTTCCAATAAATACAAGGATTTTAATGGCAGAAATCTAATTAAACTGCAAATATAATTTCTAAAATAAGTTAAGAAAACTCTATACACCAGAATGTTTCAATTTTCTCTTGGTGATCTCTCCACAATTAACGAATGAGCTCTGAGAGTTCAATAAGCATAGCAGCTGAATCGTTTCTGAAAATTTATGAAAATTTCCATCGATAAGCGAAATTATACATTTCCAAAAATATGAAATGTCGGCTAGAAATTTTAAGAGCAAAGACTCAATTTTATTAATCTTTCATTAGACGCTAGTCGTGAATGTCACCCTGACTCTTATTATAGAATCACATGAGAAAGTGTCATCCAGACAAGCAAGGAAGCATATAAGCCAAATACCATAACCCAAACTCTTCTTTTTCATGACTTCCAGAGAACCAGCCTAATTTATGCTAAAATCTCAGAAATCTGACAATTTGGTATAAACTTTCCATTAGCTTTTACTCAGAAATTGTCTGTTCTGGTAATAAACTTCTTGGCAAAAACAGATGCGAATTAGATTTTCGAAGTAACTGCAGGCATTTTCGACATTGTAATTTTTCTGTCACCTCCGGGCTCTTTTAGGGCAAAGTTTCATGTATAGTAAAAATCATGTGTTTTGAGTAACCCGGTAGATTCTTAAGAATTTAACACTATTCCCAGTCACATTAGAGCCCATGTGGTGTTCTAATAAGTTAGGAACCCAAGAGAATTCTTCCCCTGAAATTAGGTAATTTAGGGTTAATGGAAATTAACATAAACACGATTTTCGTATTTAAGAAATGATGGTGAATCATAAAATCGGTGACCCACATCTAATTCTCCCTAACGAATTGTAAGATGAACAGGATGTTGCAGAACCAAATTTGAAACAATTCCTGCTTAGATTAAAGCAATAAATATGATGAATCCTTCAACTTACATACTTTCTTTAGTTTTAAAGGATCCATTTTATCGTTCATTCAATCCGGTGGCAAGATGCAGGGGTTTTGGGGTTTTGGGGTTTTGGGGTTTTGGGG